GGGGCGACACGCACCGCATCTGCTGAGACCGGGTGTTTACCTGGTGAAGTAGATCAGCTGTCATGGCAAACACCGTGCTATGGTGCGAGAGGGTCGATGCATGCTCCTACGGGCGGGTCACAATTTGGCGAGTGAGGGGACAGAGCAGCCAGGCAGGAGAAGGCAAGGTCGCCAGGAGGGGGAGAAAGGAAGAAGTGGCAAACGAAGGAGGAAAGACACGCACACGGCACTCGACCACAGTTGGCAAACGCAGAGGCTCGACATCCGGCGGGGCATCCTCCACCATGGGAGTCTGCAGTGTGTCACCCTCTGGGTGGGTGTCGGTGACCTCCGCAGTGAGAGTGGCCGGCTCGCGAGTAACCTCGGGAGCTGGCTGGGTCTCAACCAGGGAGGCCGCCTGGCCGTTGTCAGGCCCGGCAGCCCAACGGACAGCCACCGCCAGCCGGGCGATGTTCAACCGTTGGTGCGCCATCACCGCCCGCAGGGCCGTGATGCGCGCATCGTTGGCCGGGCTATGCAGACCACGCAGAGGGAGAGAGAGAGAGAGAGAGAGGGAAAGCCATGTGCACGCGTGTCCATGCATACACGCAAACACCAATACAAGCACACACTTGGTCAGCCGGCGTCCAAAGGGAGAAGAAAAGAAACAAGAGCAACGCCGGCAGGCAACGCACTCGACTACCCCGGCAGTTGGCGTCCCGACAACCGGCGACGATGTGCCAGCCTGGGCCTCATTCTGGAGCCGGCCCGCCTGGAGGAGACGCACTGCCTGGCTCTGAATGGTGGCCAGGGTGCTGTCGATAATTGGCCGGAGTTGAACCGTGTCCCCATTGGCCAGGCCCCCGGGTGCCAGACCCGATGATGCCATCATTGACGGTGGTCCATGGGGATGTTGATGACCTGGCTGGGGAAACATCTCGGTCTCGGAAAAGATCTCCCTCGCTCGAACGCTGCTTTTCAATGGCGCCAGACCGTGTCGATCTCGCCTCCGGCGGGGACCACGGCGGCGTGTCTCGCTCACGCGGGCGGGGCACTCGAGGCGCGGCGCGGTCACGAATGGAAGGGACGGGCGGGGTGG